GGTGGGGGGGATACCATGGGGGTGGGGTGGGGGGGGAAGGGGGTGGTGAATGCTGGCGCATATATGTACATAATACACACATATGTACGAGCGGAGGTTTACTACCTAAACGTGGCATCCCTGGAGGCAAAACATCCCAAGCTCGCAGAACCAGAGTGCATACCCCTAAGGGTCCAAGTACCTAATAACTTGGGTTTTGGGTAGTAGTAATTATAGTATAGCTTTTGGGCAAGCAAATGATTATTAGGTACTTGGATCCTTAGGGTACAGTACAGACAGGACAAATCGTCGTCACGTAGGTGGTGTCAGAGTCAGTCTGGGTGATACGGAAGTTTCTCTGGCTAAGGGTCACCACCCTGTACCCTCAACATGTTATTTTCCATATTACCAAGACGCCCGCTAGGGATTCCCTAAGCCTTGAACCTTAATTGTGAGCTTCCTGCACATGTCGAAGATATGAATCGCATTCCTGAAGCCGGACCCATTTGGGCTGCTCAACTAAGGTAAGGATCCAGGTGGTCCTTTGGAGGTTGCCCTGGAGCTGGTGCCCTAGCAGCCCGTAACGCTTTCAGAGGATGCAGCAACAACTAGGGACACTTGTTTGGGAGTCCTTATTGAAAGCACTGCAGCATCTTGGGAATTAAAGGCGGCATGCTGCTTCACCAAACCGCCTCACAATCGCGGGCAATAGCTGCACTAGCTGCAACACTTAAGCGCTGAACAGAAGAGTTTGTTTGTGGCCTACCAGGGAAATGTCCCTTCGTGGTGGGTCCTTAGGCCCTAATGAGTTGAGGGTAGGTGGAGGGTGTAGGAGGCAAGTTGGATGTAGGTAGAAGCCAGTCTGCGCAGCCAAGGTGTCCTGGGTGCGGCAAAGAGCCTTTGGCAGTTGGATACAAAACGAGGAGTGTATCAATTATAGTAGCTTCCATTTTCTTTTCCATTATCCCAATATATCCCCAATGTACTATGCCCCAATATAACCCTTGGTATAATCCCCATATTATATATATATATTCCCTAGTCAGAATCCTGCCGGACCCTTGTTGTGGGGAGGTCAAGAGTGCTTTACAGTATCAGAAAGGCGTATTCTAAATTCTGTTTCTCTTGATTTCTGCAATTCCTGAGACGGCTTCCCCTCGTACGGGTTTGAGCATGACATGACCATTGTCCTCTCATGAGCCAGATCACAACTTTTAAGTTCGGCACAGAGTAACTAGTAACTAGATGCATTGAAAAGGGTCAGCCGCAGTGACTTCCAAGGAAAGCAGAAGCTTCTCATCAACTGCTGGGCGGGCATGAACAGAGCTGCGGCCATTTCTGCTGCAGTGATGATGGCGCCTGACTCAGTCTGGCTTGTGCTTTTTCAAGCCTCTGGTAATGAAGCCTTACCACAGAGGAATTAAAGAAATGCTGAAGTAGTTTCTGACAGGGGCTTCATTTACAAGCCTGAGATGTCCCCTAGGCTTCTGTCATGTCAGTTTAACTAGAGTTTCTTAGACCCACTCCCCAATTCTGACGCGTTGCTGCCCAGGAGGTGGAGAACTTGACCCTTTTGGAGGCTTGCGAGGCCCCTTGCCGCATGCTTCTCTGCCTAGACTAATATGAATAGCATCCCTATTCTGTTGCCTTTCTCGGCCCTCGCAAGGCAGCATGCCCCACGTCTGAGCTTCACGGCACGAACAAAAGGTTCAACACTTAAAACACAGCAACTGTCTGGGGACCCTCTAGGGATGTTTGGAACCGTCAGGGGATGGGTCCGCATGTAGGATTGCTGTAGCAGCCGGCTGTGTCAGGTTTTGGCCGCCAAGCGGGGTCGAGCCCCTCGGCACAGTTTATTTGTGCGTTTTGGGCTGCGACGCTATGGGGGGATACTAAAAATCCTGCATGACCCTAAGTCCGATCAGACAGACTTCTTAGCATCCACAGCATAACGCTGGCGCCGATGCCTTCCCTGTCCAATGTTGGTTGAGCAAACTTGTCAACCTCTGAATCTTGTAAGCCTCCCAGTCCTTATCAACGTTACAGAGCCTGAAATATGAGCTTGTCCCTAAAATTCTTGAAGTGGTGCTTTCCCAAAATAAGGGGACCCCAATAAAGACCCCAAAATACTATAGTCCTTATTATGGGGACCCCCAAAAAGGTACCCCTAATTTTGGGAAACCCCCAAGTCTTTCTGGAGCCTCAGGTTCTTCACAATGTCAGCTTTCGGAAGCAGCTGCTTTCTCTGGCAGTCTCGCGCGGCTCGGCATTGGGAGGGCAGGCAACCTGCCAGAGTTTGATAGACATGCTACAACAGCGAGCAACTTGGAATTTTCCGAGAAGAATAGCAATGCGCGTAGCACTGGCGACAGCAAAACAAGACCCGTGACCCGAACAGCAAGCTCTGAATGCCGATATCTTGCATCCATGTGAGCTATAGTCTAAACTCCTAGTATCCCCCTTAATAACCCCTATAGTAGTCCCCTATATAATCCCCTATATAACCCCCTTTAAGGAGTTTAGATTATGGCTCATGTTTCAGTTGGCCTGGCGGGCGACCTGAACGCGGCTGCATCATCACCTGCGCGTCCAGAAGGCGCGGGATTCGTGTAGGAGCCCGAAGAATAAGAAGAGATTTGTGCATATGGTTTACTAAGGTGTACTTGCTACTAAGAACGTAAAAGGCTTACAAAGGTCAAGCTTCTGCAGAATCTAGTTCCAGAAGTTCATTTCACGGTCAGTTTTTTGGGTCTTGCGTTATCGGAGTGAGAGTGTGGGCTTTGCATGACCGGGCTTACACTAAGGGCCATAGTGAGATCCCAAACGTGAGCCCCCAAACCCCCATTGTTCGTCCAGAAAGCCCACTATGGCCCTAGGAGACCTGGGGTAATGAATCAATGAAAACCTGTTGCGTGCCAGGCACTGACCAGGCCGATGGCGAAAAGGCCAAGCCAGTCGCAGCTGCTGATGACCAGGATGGAGAGCCATTTAGAAAGGACGACGTCGATCCCACGCCCTGACACTTCGATGAGTTGGGGCTGGCCTTCAGCTTTCTCTCGCAAATTACTTCCTGGGATACTTGCGGGCAGAATTTGATGCCCTGGCCTTGCCGCGGTTCGGCAACGAGACTCGCTGCCCTGTGTGGGCCTGGGCTCGTTGCCTTGGTGGCCGGGACTTTGCTGGTGGACGCGGCCGTGGACAAAGCGCAGTGCCGTGTTATCCGCGGGGGTGCAACCATCAAGCTGAACAGAAGCCACTGCCAACAGGGCAACAGAAGCCTGGGCTCTCGACGACTACAAAAATTCCCTGCAAGTCCATGAAATGCCGCCCAAAACTGGAGTCATGGTTTCCTGCCTGTTTCGATGACGTGTGGTGATCGGGAGAACGGAGATGGGGCGCTGTCTTCTGACCGAAGTCTGTTCCAGAAAAGTGCGATCAAGATTTCAGTTGATCAGCTTCTGAGACACAGTCGATGGTAACTCACCCTGAACCCGTAGCTCAGGGTTGACCAGTTAGAATAACAAGCTATTTGCCAAAAGGTTTGCTATGGATTGCAGGGATGCATGTGGTCAGCACGGCATTGTGTAAATTGTTTCCAGCCGGCTTCATGCATAGGAAGCAGGCCTGGGAACCAGGAAGTACGCATGCGTCCGTTACACTGATGCTACTGTTCTCCCCTATGAAATTTTGCTACTGCCTCTACCACTTTGGCTCACTATCATCAGCGTTCTCCCTCGTCCTGCTATTCTGTCTGTCTTGACCAAACCTTGTGGTCGCGATGACAAACGTCTGAGGAAGATGCGAGCATCAGTCAAACAACACTTGAGAATCCAAAGCAATGCCAGGAGGAGTAGGTAGTGTTAGGTACTGGTACTGGTACTGGTACTGTTACTCGTAGTGTAAGAGTCTACTACCGGTACTGTACTAGCCAGCGCTACTACTTTACGTCGCAGCCATAGAAAGGAGCAAGTGGCTATTTGCGCTGTCGGCCCTCGGCCTGCTCAAAGTCCTGATCAGGTGGTCCCATCCGGTGGACCCAAGGACCTGCTGCACGTGGCCACATGGTTTGAGGTGGCATCTTGCGAAGACTTGTTGAGCATTTGTCCAAGATCTTATGATGGTTGCATCGTGGCTTTGCTGCTTTGTTGGTGGAGTGCTGCCAGAACATTGGAGTGCAACGGGTGAAGTGAAGATGGTTACACCACCTTATTCTGTTTCCACGATAGCGCCAAAACTTGAAGCCGTTGAAAATGTTCAACATCTCCATTCCAGAAGGATCTATGAGAGCCAGGAAGGGTCGCATCTTGCAGGTCTCATTGGTCATGAAACGAGAAGGCAAATGCGCACGAAGTCTTGAGGCTATTGCCTGAGACGAGCCCCATCAAGAACCCTGGCGATATTGCCGTGCGTTTTTCAACGGATTCTTCAAAAAAAGGTTCCACAACCCTTGAAAAGACATTCTGCCCCTAAACGCTGGACCCTACACCGCAAACCCTAAACCCCAACCGAGTGGTGAATGTTAATCCCGGGCTCTGAAGTCTAAAGCGAGATCTCCGTGAGGACAGCGCCGTGGCATCCTGCCTCCCTGCTGGCGGCGACGATCCGCCCATGAGGCTTCAGGGTTTGGGGTTTGGGTTTAGGCTTCTTGAGATCGAGGGTTGATAGTGAGGGGGTTCTGTTTAGGGGATTCGAGGTCTATGGAGTTTTGCAGATGTTGGGGTTCCTCAGGATATTGGACTTCGGGATGAGACTAGGCTGCAAAAGCATAGTCCTGAGTCTTTTGGGATAGCCGCCTGGAAAGAAGCAAGAGTTTGTGTTGTTGCCTAGGCAGGAGCATATCGCTTTTCATTTCTTTTCTTTTATATCTGTATCATTCTGTATCTATACCGTCTATACCTATACCATATCTAGATCTATTTCTGTCTACAGACCTACATATATAGATGTATACTCGGAGTTTTCACGCATGTATATAGACACATGGACATATGTGCATACATATATATATGCACCCCCCCCCCCC